GTGTGAGCATGTGAGTATGAGTGTATGTGAGTGTTACTGTGAGCGTGTGAGCATGAGTGCATGAGTGTGTGTGAGCATCTGAGTGTGTGTCAGTGAGTATGTGAGTGTGTGCATGTGAGTAGGTGAGTGTGTGAGTATGTGAGTGTGTGTGCGCGCGTAGGTGAGTGTGTGTGAGTGTGTGCATGTGAGTAGGTGAGTGTGTGTGTCAGTGTGTGAGTGTGTGTGTGTGAGTGTGAGTGAGTGTGAGTGTGCGTGTGAGTGTGAGTGAGTGTGCGTGTGAGTGTGAGTGACTGTGAGTGAGTGTGAGTGAGTGTGAGTGAGTATGAGTGAGTGCGATGCTCGGCCCATCCCGATGCTTGCGCTGACTCTCATTTCCCTGAGAAGCGTGTCCTCCGGGGCAGGCAGGCGGCAGGCGGGGCCGGAGCTGGTGCAGACGGGGCTTCGGCTGCCACCCCTGTTCCCCCCTCATTCGCGTTGCGTTCTCTTCCCCCCTCCTCTGCAGGAGTTCGTCCAGCTGGCAAAGAGACTGGTGAGTGATCCCGCCTTAGAAAGAAGAATCGTGGCCAACGGGAGGGAGTACGTGAGGACCTATCACTCTTGGCAGGTGGAAAGAGCCACCTATCAGCACCTCGTCAGGACACTCGGGGCCTCCGAGGACTGAGGGCGCCCGCCCGGTGCCCGCCACGCACCAGCCTCCGCCGCCATCGGATGCGCAGCCCTGGGCGAGGAGCTCCGGGGCCCGCGGGTCCAGCCCAGCCCAGGGAGCAGGCCAGCCTCGTGGGAGTCGCAGACGTGCGGGTCACAGGGCGGCTCACCCCAAACTCCGCACTTCCAGATCAGCCGGAATCGTGGCCACCAGAGCAGGGGAGGGGTAGCGGGTCTTAGGGAGAATCGGGGAGAGATCGGATTAGCTGCTTTGGGACTTTCTTGGGCACAGCAGGGGCTTATTCGAAGCCATCACAGGGAGGCACCGTCCCCCGTCTCCTGATGACCCGTGAGCCAGCATCGTCTGTTCAGAACACAGAAACGCAGCGAACAGGTCCTGGTGGCGCGTTTCGCGTGGTCCGGACCCTCTGGCGAGTCTGGGTCCTGACGACACGCGATGGGCCCCGGCGACACTGGGGCCCGGGCCGGTGCGGCCCTCCTCCCAGCTGAGTGGCGGGAGGGGAGCGGGCGCCCCCTGCAAAAGCAAGCAGATCCCCTGTCAGCTCTGGCTGCTGCTCGGCCAGATTCCAGTCGAAACTGAGTTGGCACGAGGGCCACGTCACCTGTGGCCTCACACCCTGCACGTGGCCCTGAGCTGGACCTGGGTCCCTGGGGTCACCACATCCCTCCACCTCCTCCCAGCCCCAGGCGCCCAGGGCCGGCAGGCCGGGGTCTGAGTGACGTTACGCAGCATCCAGCGAGTTCCGCCAAGGGCGGCCATCTCCGTCGCGATGCCCTGGCCACCCCGGCTCCGCGTCCCTGAGGACACGGGCTGCTCTTTCTTTCGGTGGCTGCTGCCTCTGTGGGATCCTGAAATCGTTGCATTCCAGTGGACGTTCCGTGACGATTAAGAGGGCGTGGGTGACGTGCTCCATGGCACGTGTGACGGAGAAAGCAACGGGCATGCAGGGGACAGGTGCAAAGCAGGCCCCAGGCCCGTCGCGGGAGCGTTTGGTGGCGTCTGCTCGGGGGGAGGGGCCTCCCCACCCTGGGATGTTTTGCTTTACGATCACCGTGCTTTTAAAGAAGCGGCCAAACCTACACCTTCCTTTTTTAAAAGAATAAGCCTCAAATTAAACTTCTTAACCTCTGGTGACACGGGATGAGACCGGCACGTGTAGGCTCTGGGCCATGTCACTGGACGCCACAATCTCAGAGCGAGTCCCTCTCCGGAAGGGCCGTCGGCTGGGAACGATGGGTGCTCCTCACTCCCGGGACATGCGGTCCTGCTCACCCCAGTCCCCCCCCTGCTCGGCACGTGACGGGCACAAGCCCCCAGGGCCCCTGTCTGGGCACAGCGAGGGGAGGGCGGGACACACAGAGCCCATGTTCGGGGCAGGCGGCTCGGTCTGAATCTGGAAGGAGCGACGCCACCTCTGAAAGGCCCAGCGCTGTCTTGGTCCCGTCCGGTGACGCCGCTGGCCCCCGGAACCTCCACTCTGCCCGTCATTATCCGACGTGTTGACGCAAATGCGCGCGAGGCCCCGTGCGCCTTGGGGAAGGGCGTGTTTTTAAGTCAATAAAGCGTGTCGCCGACGGCTGCACGAAACAGCCGCTGCCTGTTCTCATTCCGGGCGATGCTCTGCGAGAAACAGCCCCCCCGGCCCCCAGTCCCTGCGCCTTACACGATGACACACGGGCGTGGGCGTGAGGGGCCGTCAAACGCCGTCACCGTTTTAACGCCGAAGGAGAGAAGCAACAAATCGCCTCCCGGCAAACAGCCAGCGGGGTTCGCTATCCTGCTCGGTCACCTCTGTGCGCAAACATTTTGCGTGTCGTTTTCAGGCTGCCGACGTCCGGGCTGGGGCGACTCCGAGGGTGAGTTTCCAGGTCGAGCTGAGAGACGACAGCCTTCGTGCCCGGAGGGGTGCTGCGTTTTGTGGGTGCGGAGGCCCGCGGTGCGGAGGCGGTGCTCACAGCCCATCGGCGGGCCGCGGGGTCGGCGCCCACAGCTTCGTGTGAAGATCACGCCTTTCCTGCCCCACGATCTCACGGGATGAGCACGGTGGGGCCTTTGGGGTCTGACAAGTTCATCGCGCATCTCACAGTTTGCGACAGCCGGCCGTGTACGCTCTCCTTGCAAATGGCAGCGCGCAGCCCTGAGGGCGCCTCGTGGCCCCGGCAGACCTGGAATTTGCAGCTGCCTGGTCTCGGCGCCGACCGCCGCCCTCGCCTCGCGCAGTTAAAGGTGGGACGTTTTCCGACAGCGTCTGACCTCTCAGCAGGCGATGGGGCGTCAAGAGCCCCTTGAACCCCTGTGCTGGCCTCGGTTGCCGTTGTTTGCACAGGACGTGGCCTTTTTCCTTGAAGGGTCTCGGTGGTTGAACTGGCCTGGTTATCACTGATCTGCGGCTCCCTCTGGGTCGGGGCGGGGGGCTGGCTCTCCTGCGTCTGGCCCCCCTCCCTCTTCCTTTCTCGCATCTCCCGTGCCACACCCTCACGTCCCCTTTGGGACGCAGTGTCCTCTTGGGGAGTCAGGGGGACGATGTGGGAATGACACAGGAGAAGACCTGCCTGTCCCGGATGCTACATCAGAGTCTCGGGGGCCCAGCCCTGAAGCCTCTGCGACTCAGTGTGTGGGCGACGTGACTCGAGGGCCTGCATGAGCAGGGGCCAGGATGTCACAGAAGGCGAGGACAATCTAAGAAGGGCTGGAGGGAAACGATCCCAGACGAATGGGCTCGATTTGTCTGTGTTCCGGAGTTTACTGCGCATTCGCAATTGAAACTCAGTGCAGGGCCAAGGACGATTCTCGCGCACACAGCAAACCCAACGGCAAACGACGCACCCGCCGGGACGTCACCCGCCGTCCCAGAGCGTCTCTCCTGCCTTCGATGTTTGTTTTCGTCCGCGGCATCGGCCCCGTCGTCGTCCCCGTGGCCATCCCCCTGCTGGGTGGTCACCTGGTCTCGTGCTGCCCGGCCCGTCGCCTGTGCTTCGAGCCCTTCAGCAGACGTGCGTTTCTTCCGTTTCGGGATGTCCTGCAACCCTGGCCGTGTCCGCGGTTTCGCTCTTGGGTTCATTTGCCTTGCGTCGGCATCGGAGCGTTTGAACCGCGAATGGCAGTGAGAGAGAGACCGACTTCACGCCGGTTTGGGGCCAGGAAGAGCACTTAGCGTTGCGTTTGGTTCCGAAGGACAGTGGCTTAAGCAGGAGAGAAATGCGTTTTGTTTGTTTGTTTGTTTGTTTCGTTTTTTCTCTCGAGTAAAGAGGTTAATGGAGCATATGTGGTGTTTTCCAGGCTCAGGGACTCAGACCCCTCCGGCCTGTTGTTCCTCCTGCCTCAGTATGAGGCCGTCTCTACCTCAGGATGCAAGGTGGCTGCCCAGGCAACACCATCGTGCCTGACTCCAGGCTGCAGGAAGTCGGCAGGTGGGGACAGAGACGTGTCTCCTCCCTGTCAGGACAGTTCCCACTTCTGGTTCCTTAGGTGGCCAGACCCAGTGGCAAGAGAAGCTTGGAAACGCGGGCTTTTCCTCGAGCAGCCCTGCGCCCAGTTAAAAACCAGGGGTCTGTGGTAAAGGACGGGGAAGATGCATACGAAGGGAGAGCTTGGGGTTGCAGAGCCACCGAGACCGACCGGCTCAGGTTCTGCAGTGGTCACAGGCACCTTCTTTGTCCTGGCCACCGAATAGCTTCCGATGCCAAGAGAAGTGTTTTCCGCAAGGTTTTACGTTAGCTCTTGAGGCCACCGTGACGCAGCTCCCTTTGTCCCGCGGCCACGTCTGTATACGAGCTCCCGGCCGGCACAGCGGATCGGTCACCGCCACACGGACACCGGGGCCCGTGCGTACGCGGGTTCTCATCAGAATCTGCTACCGTGTCCCTCTGCGTCGGGCCAAACGCGGTCCCGGAACACACAGGACAATAACACGTGTCCACTACGTGTATGTAATTTCGGTCATTCCGAATGTGTTTAGGTTCTAAAGATAGTGTTTGAAACGAAAATCTTGCACCGTCAAAATTACCTGTGCAAACAGAGCCTCATTCACCTGTGTGGGGTTCAAGTCGGTCTGCAAACCCGTGGCCTCGACGTCAGGAAATCCTGCATCTTTCCCAAGGTTCGCAGTTGGGCTTTTTGGTTGATTGACACTGCGATGGCGCTCGCACACGTTGGAGCAGGCAACAGTCAGTGAGAGGGACCAACCGGTATGGCCAGCAGCTTGAGTGTCCATAGCCTGCACGTGAGGCCATGAGCTCAGGAAGGTTCTAGAAGCCGGGAGGGGGCGGGGAGGTGGAAGGGAGCCACCCTCTGAATGTGTGGTTTTCGGTCAGTTCCAATTTTAGATGAAGAACTGAATCTCGAGCGGGAACGGGGTCAAGTCCGCCCTCCGCTCCCGGGGCGGGGTGCGGGGCTGGGGCGGGCTTATTTCATGCTGTTGTCAGAGCTTCTGTGTATCCACGCGCCCGTCCCGTCTACAAGCACTTCCTGGAGCGCTGTGGCCAGGGTCCCCTCCGGGGTCTGAGGATGCAGTGTGGACCGAGCCCCCCGCCCGGGTGGGGCGTCACCGTGAACCTGGACGGGGCGGGACCCCGTGCCAGCCATCAGCGAGGCAGCGGCGTCCACCCAGGGGAGTCAGGGACAGAGTTGGCGCGAACATGACCTCCTGGCAACTCAACCCCAATGCCCGCGGGATGCAAACCCGAGCGGAGATGCTACAAGCCACTTCTCAGAGGAGCTTAGACTCCAAGGGCACTGCCGGTGCCAAAGGTACGGAAGGAAAGGCAGGGAGGAGTTTCCGCCAGGAGGGGTGACTTCATCTTTATCTGTGGCCGCGAGCTCGTGTAGAGAGATGATTCTTACAATCTACCTTTTTCAGACTCATAAATAATCCTTAAAGATCCAGCGGAGAGAAACATCTTTCCAAGAGGTTACACCATTCTGCTGAGTTACAAAAGCTTTCTCCTTGGGAGCAACAGCGGCAGAAATTGATGTCATCGTGCCCTTCCGAGTACAATGCCCTCGAAATCACGCTGTGTGCTTCACAAAGCCTTGGCTATTACAAGAGGTTAGCTTCATTTAAAATGGATTTTCTTCTTCGGCATCTGATAGAAAAATGTGCTAAGTATTTCTCCCCATCAGCGAGGTTTATGACCAGGTGTCTGTGAGACTCTGGAGAGCCAGGGCCGAGCACTACCCGGCGGCGAGCCTTCTGCCTGGGTATTTGGTGCGGACTCCTCAGTCTTAGAAAGAGCTGGAAAGCCGCTTACGCAGCCTAAGTATCGGCTCGATTTCCGTTTGCTAAGAAGGCTTCGGTCTCTCTGCTCCCTGCATCCAGAGGCTCAGTGGGCATATAAGCAACTGTAAGACACGAGGTGATTGAAAAAGCAGCTGCGCCTGTGACTTAAAATGGTGTCGCTCCTCCAGGTCAGTGGGTAAGAGCAAGCATTAACCGAACTCTCTGTGCCAGGCGCCCAGCTCGGTGCTGGCAACGGTGAACTTTGCCCCAGCCCGGTGTGCCCAGAAAACAGGAGAGATTTCTGTTCAGGGAGGGTGTTGTTCGCAAAGCACCTCCCTTTCCCACGTGACTTAGGGGGACTCACAGCGTCCCCAGGTTTACCAGGGCCAGGGCCGTAGACCCTCCAAATTCCCAGTCTGTGTCTCATCAGCGAGCAGCTGACCTGCTTTCCCCGGTGATCAATCATCTCAAAAGGCTTGTTAATCAGACCTGGCTGAAGCCCTCTCCCCCGGGCCCTGGTCCAGGTGGAGCCTGCAGATGGCTGGCCCGTCACGGCCCCGGCCCCGTAGCCGGGGAGCAGGTGCGCTCAGGGGGGAGCAGGTGCGCTCGGGGTCGAGCATCCTCCCACCTCCTGGTCCGTCTCTGCCGCTCATCTCACCCCCCACACCTGCTCTTTCTAGCCTCGCTTACTCCCTACGAGATTAAAACTCCACTCTCCGCCTCAGCCCGGGAGATGCTCGCCGACCTTACGGTCAGAGCGTGCTCCCTGCTGTAGAATCTTCGAGACTCCTGTAAAATCTCGCTTTACTAAGCCGGCGTTGGTTTCTTATTTGGCCGCGTTTACCTGCACCATCTCAAATAATCTTTGCAACAGCCCCATAATTTTACAGGTGAGGAGACTGAGGTTCTGAGTTGCAGCTGGGCCGGTTATGGAGCTCGCTCTCTCGCTCTCTCTCTCTCTCTCTCGCTCGCGCTCTCTCCCCCCTCACCACCCCCAAACACTACGTGGGGCCGTCCCCACATCCTGTGCAGTCAGTTGTCAGCTACGCACTAAGGAATGTAGTTGGCACGTGGGTTAGACAAGCTTTCGACCAGGCCAGAGGGACCTGGAAGGGATCAGACCATGTGACCCCCAAATTCACCACTTTGGCACATGGATGATTTTGAGCCGAAGACCACTGACAATCAACAGAGGCAGAAAGAAGCCTTTGCACAGCCCCGTCTAAGAGCAGACGCTCCTGAGAAACGAGTCCCCGTCAGTCTCCTTCCCTGGGGCGCTTTAGGGCCACGGAGAGGATGGAAAATCAGCCT